ATTGCCCTCAGTGAGTAGTCAGGACATTTACACAATATGTGGGAGGCTTACATTCAAATCCTCCCTCAAGAAACATCACTTCTTCACCTTCTGCCTGCCTGATGTATGTTCTACATGTCGTACTGTGTGGGTGTACCTTTACTCAGTCAGACATTCTACTTTGAATAATTATTTTAATAGGAACTGACAGCTGCTTGTCCTACCTTCTCAATAAGAGCGTGAGCGTGTAACCTGTTACATCATTCTCATCTCCTCCCTCATGAATACTTGAACAAGATGGAAGAAGAAATTGGAACAACTCATGCTAGAAAACATTACGGTCACTGCAGTGGTCACACATTCTGTTCTGAAATTCTGTTTCTGAGATCCCTATTCTTAAATAGACACTGTAAAACTGCTGTTGTTATCTCTGTGTGACCCTGTTGAACATAGTTCCAAATGGTTTTGTTTGTAAATAAAGAAGTTTTTTTTAATTCCTGTGTCACAGAGCTGTGAACTCTGCAGAGAATACAGTGACTCCTGGAGCAGGAGCTGTGCATGTACCAAGAGAATTTGTTCTCTGTCTTGATCTCAGCTTAGTATCAGTTCCTGAAGGAGTATTAGCCTCTGAGATGATGACATTAGTAATGAGTTGTGACTCTTGAAGAACAAAGTGACTCCTTACTGACAGTTTTATCACTTCAGTTCTTAGATGACTTTGAGTTGAATATGTGAAACTAAGTACTCAATCTCAGTTTCACTGAAATACACTCCACAGAGAAATCAAATCCAAGTATATCTACTTAGAAAAGTTATGACTTTGGTGTCATAATAGTACATAACTTTTTGAAAAGCTCCCAATAGATTCTTACCTAACGAGAATCTCCAAAAGTTCCTCCTCGTTTCAGTCTGATAGTACAAAAATGAATAAAAGCTCTTAAGCTTAGCTATAACTTAACTGGGGATGTTATTCTGAGCCATCCTATTTCTGCTTGCTCTCATGATGCTACACCATTTATTGAGGTCATTTGCCCCAACTGCTTCTCTTGTCAACCCAAGCCATGGGAAAAATCTGAGTCTGGCCCATTGTCATGGTCAACACTTGTTCACTGCTCAAACCACAGCTCTCTTACAGCACCATCTCACCCGTCCAAATGGGTGAGTAAGGTGACTAAGGGTCAACTGAACATATCCCATTATGAAGTATTATTTTTCCCTGCAGTGACAGAAAAGACCCCAGAGTTGAATGGTAAGCCCTCCGGTCATGAGGAACCAGAAGTGCAACTCTCCTTTATGCTGCCCCTCTCATGAGCTGAGCAGCCTAGAGAAGTAAAGGTCCTCTTTATGAACATATTTAATCCAGCAATATCAGGTGATAAACCACAGCATTTGGGATTCTGTCTTTATAAAATCTTTATAAAATCATTCTGTCTTTATAAAATCATAAAATCAAAGCTTCTATTAGAAGCTTTCTCCCTCAAACTTCCTTCATATTTAATTAATTTAGAAAATTAGCTTCAGCTTCTCTTCTCTCTTCCTTGTATTTCCTACCCACATCATCATTTTTATCCACAAGGATGTTACTTTTATTGTAAGATTTTTAAACATTTTTTTTCTTTTGCCTGTATCATATTCTTACGTACCCACAGCTGAATGTGTGTTGAATTTGAACTGGTCTTGTGGAAACTGCAGAAACTCTTATAATTTTTTTATTATCAGATGGAATGCCATGTCTCAGAAAATTCTTTTTATTATGAAGACTTGGATTAAATTGATTTGATTGTCAAACTCCCTACTGTCAATCTTTTCAACCACTAGTAACCTCTGTCATTTTCTTATTTAGTGAACCACTTCTAGAAGAGCTGCCAGGTTATGATCCAGGTGAAAGGGGCAGCAAATGCAGTTCCTGCAGCACTTCCTAGCCACACTGAAACGTCTTTATAAGCACTTTCAGTCTTGATCCTTCCTTTGAAAGTGGGGGACATGGACCATTTTATTTATTTTCTCATTTATTTGTCAGGTAGAGCATATATTTGTGCTAATTTCCTGAATCTAATAATCTAAGACACTTCAGCAGAAAATGTGCTTTTCTATAAAGACAAGGAATTCATGATGTCCATTTCATGATCCCCAAATCATTGACAGGGGTTATGTGTACTGATGTCCTCAGTCTCTCATGGAGCATGGCATGCTCATGGAAGCATGCTAAGACGGATAATTTTGGACTTTGCCCTGGCAGTATAGGGCATCTTCCAAGGCCCTGTTCTGAATGATCCTTCCTTGTGGAGAAACATAAGAAAAAATAATTTCAAACATCACTTTTTACTGATAACCAACCTTTACATAACATTATCTCAGGAACCCACAGCAAGGTGAACTTTCAGAAGATCCACTCTAAGTTGAATTTTCTTAGGCTGCTGAATTCCCAGTATTATTATCTTGTTCCTCATATCAGCTACAGGATTACTACCATGAGTAATGACATTGTATGAAAATCATGAGTAACAAGATGATAAAGTTATACGATGTAGATCTGGGAATTGTACAAGCAGTCTGAAAAAGGAAGGAAGGCAAAATAGATACCAGGCAAATATGATTCCAAAATACTGGCACTTACTAATCTTTTCTGTAGAGTAAAGTCAACATATTTGCACAAACTTCTGAAAAAATGTGTACTTTGTGTGAGTGTACGATTTGGCTAAAGAGAGCAGTGTCTCTGACTGTCTGTCAGGCTGTGAGTCCTGACTGAGAGCAGATGTGAGGCTGCTTAAGCTGTTTGGAATATTATTTGCATAACACTGAAACCCAACAAACAGAGGAATATTCTGCAATTATTCATCTCTTCACAGATCTGCAGTCTGCAGAAGTCAGCCACGTGAATCCACATATTTATAATAAGAAAATAACACTATTTAGCCGATGATGGTAACTGGTACCATCCAGCGGGTTATTTTACCAAAACTTTCACCTGAGATGTCATAGAGTATTCTTGAATTTAAGAAGAAAATATTGTTTTTTTTCAATTTCATATAGGTTCATGAATGGCTTACATGTTATTTTACAATAGATTAAAAAGCCTGATTTTTTTTCAGTTATAATACTCTAATGCAATCTATGTGATAAGAATAAATTTGGTTTTGATCCTGCAAAGTAAAATGAAAGTTGTTCTGAGAGGATATGAGAATACACAAACAATGCCTTGAAAAAGGATCTTATCAGTACAGTTAGTATATATCATTATTTTGTCTGCAGTACTACCATTCTGCAACTACAATGTTTCTGCTATTTTTAGACACACAGCCATTTCTTGTTAAATGGCTTTTAAATCCTACACTTTTTCCATGTAGTGCAGGCATATTTATTCCAATTTTAAAGATTTATTTTCTAAAATAAACAAAACAAAACAACCAGAATGGTTTTGGTAGCACAGGGATACAGCTCATCAAAATGTTAATCTATGAAATTCCTTGGCATTGTTCAACTTTTCTGTAACCACTTAAACATGTTTTAAATGCTATTTCTTGATTCAGCAACTGATTTGGCTGTTCCTTCCCAATTGTGATTGATGCTATTGATTAGCTTCTCAAGGCCTCTTGAAGTCAGTAGGACACAATTAATTTAGTCTGTGTACTTCAGATCAGAAGTTCTGTAATCAGAATAACTGATGTTTCCTTGTAGACTGCTCTTCACTGCCTCTGATTTTGTAACAGAGCAAAACCAGCATTAGCTGTGATTAAACTGTAAACTCTTAGTTCTTCTTGTAATTAAAACATAAAGAATATACAATGAAAACATGACAGAAATTTTTAGTGATAATTCCTACTTAAACAACAGTAGCAGAAAGTCATCTAATAATACCTTGAGGGTAAAATTATTTGGGGGTACTATGTATGGTTTTATGTATGAGGAAAGGAAACTAATATTAGAAAGTATGAAGATCGCAGGATACAATATTTGTAAATCAAAGGAAAATCTAACTGGGGTTTGAGTGAAATATTTTGAATATCTCTTAAAAGAAGTCTGTTTCAATTAGAAACTCCCAATTTAGCATGATCTGTAACAAAATTCCCACTATAATATGTTAACATTAAATGTACATTTGTGGTTTTACTCTAAAATTTAGCAAACAGGTTTATTAGGTAACTGGAAATTAGCTTTCTAGTGTCTCAAATACTGTGTTAAGAAAGTTTTTTTCATTAAATTACTTTTATGCTGGAGATTCATTAATATTCATTCACCAAAATCTAGCAAAGATCAGCCAAAAGGTAATTGTGTGAGGGTTGAATACTTTTCCTTGGAACTTTCCACACATTTTACAGCCATTTTTTTCCTTCTACTTCTGTAAAACTAATTTGCAGTAGGATTTACTGGCTCTGTCAGATCTCTCTTACTCCAAGGCAACCTTTTAGATGTTGTATCTGCTGCACACACACACACACACATTCTCACAAGAGTGTTGTAAATTTACACTGATGTGGGGAATTACCAGCATCCCTGGAGAGCAGCTCACTGGGAACCTCAGTGGGAGAGCCCTGTGAGCAGTTGGAGAGAGCAAATAATCACTTTGTGTCAAGAAGAAACTCCAGTTGAGTCAGGAAAAATTTTCCAAGCCTCAGATTGGTGCTTGGCCAGGAGACTGCAGCAAACCCCTTACTTTTAAAGGAGTAGCACTTGAGCATTAAGGAATTAATGAATGAACTAAGGAATTGAACAGCATTAGGGAATGGAGGTGTGCTGACTTCACATTTCAGCCAAAAAGTAAAACCTCTGCAAATAAAGGGCACGTCAACATTATATAATGAGGAATGGCCTCAACTCAGGCTCCAAATAATAGTAAATTGTTATTTATTGTAAACAACTAGCTGTTTTTAAGATTGTCTTAAAAGTTCAAGTTTAAACCTAGGGGACGATTACAGATTGCTAACTCAAGCTGCTGTATCATCACAATTTCAACCTAAGAGCAGTGGATAGTATTTTACTTCTTGTTGGAGTTTTATCCTAGGTATAGTTTATGATCTGCTTTGGCATCATGGCAGTGTCTGGGCAGCAGGAGAGAGCCCTGGCTCACCTTTGTGTGACTCTTGACATCAGGAGGAGCTCCCTAGACAGGTGAGATTTCTTTTCCTGGGGAAATATTGAGTGTTTGTGGAAGGGAGAAACTTCTGGAGCTTAGAGACGAAGAGGCAGAGACCACAGTGGGAGCAATTCTGCCACAGCAGGAGAAGATGGAAGATTCTCTAGAGAAGCCAGCACAGGATCATTCTTCAAGGTGCTGTCAAGGAGACTTTCTTAAAACTGCATAGGGCTTTCTCATGTCAAATACACTGAAAACAAGGATAAGAAAGACAAAAAGAACGGGAGAAAAACTTGCTTTTATTTTAATCAGTCTCGCTGAGCAGAGCTGTGTCCTACACCTAGAAAGTGATTTTGTGATAGTTTTCATTTGGATTAAACAGCATGTGAGATTCAGAGCTTCCTGATATCTTCGGTGACCTTCTCTAGGAAAACATGAAGTGATTGTGTCTGTCAGTCTGGCTGACTTGAAGCTTATGAATCAGCTTATTCAGACTTATCTTTTTCCTGTAAGTACTGTGGAAATGCTAACCAAACTAATCAACTGCCAGTAGCTGCCCAACTGAACTGGCAATAATTCCTGCAATCTCACTGTGCTGCAGGGACACTGGGTGCTGCTAAATCCATTCTCCCTCTGTTCATTATAATGACAGAAATTTAACACAGATAGGTAAAAGTTTTTACAACTTAGCTGTTACAGAAAACCATCATATTCTTTCATCAAAACTGTTTTTCTGGACTTGCAAAGACCCTGGTCAAATGTTAAAACTCCCTCCAAGAGAAGAGTTTTTAAGTTTTTCAGACAAACTCCAATTTCCTGTCAAATGTTCCACCAGAGCAAACCCAAACCAGTTATGATGCTAAGCAAAACCACCTAGAGCTGGAGACAAAATGTTGACAAGGGCACCTCTTAGGTTTTAGTCCTCTTTTTTGGTCTCAGACATCTCCACATGGATTTACACAGCACCTTTGTCCTTTTTGCTCCACAGCCTTGGAAGAGGTGTTCACAATTTCTTTCTGGAAGCAATTGTGCAGGAAATATTTTATTTACACAAAGTAGTCAGCAGGGCTGAAGGAGGAAAGGTATAACTCGTGACCACTGATGTGGTATATTGACAGGATCCTGGAAACCAACTCTTACCTTCCTCCCAGCTGAATAAATGTGCACTGGAATGCAGCACCACGTACCTTTGCACATATACACCTACATAAATAGAGAACTGATATAATGAGAGCATTTCCATTTGTTGCTTTGCCTTAAACTTTTCTTATCTCACTTGAAAATACCGTAACAGTGAGAGTTTCCCATCCTAGAGGAGCCCATTTTTATGCGTAGGAAGACAGGTGTCTCAGAGCTCACTGGGCCAGAAAGGAGAGGTTTATAATGGTTATTTTTATTTTTAAAATAATTTGACTAGTAGACATTCAGCTGAAAGTGAGCCATTGATGATTTTGGGTCTAGTTCCTGTTCCTAGAATTGATTTATATTTAATTAAAATATGCACAAATAGTTTTCTAGTAGTAAACCAAGACACAAGTCTCTGCTCTCATGTGAATCCCCTAAACATAATTTTACTTACTGTTTTTGACACTGTGTTCTAGAGAAATTTGAGCAAGTTTCCCACAGTGAGACTGTTTCAGTGAGGAAGAGTAAGATATCCTCCATTCTACCTTCAGGAATAGCTACGAGTTGGGGTTAGGAGACGGAGATTTGGCCTTGTAAGTCTGAAAAGAGCATTCATCCCACTCCAAACAGAAATGGCAGTGTAAAAGGTAGATAATACTGTCACAAATGTGTCCTGCAGGGTGTTTGCTTATGTCAGCATCCAATACGGTCTGAGGAATTTTGCAGATCAAATCCCACAGACACCTTGTTGGTTCTGAGACCTTGGGCCAGAGCTGATACACACTTACTCACAGTAGGGTGGCTTGACATGTACAGAGATACTTTTTTTAGCACTTTGGGGTACAGAAAAATAAAATGAAATTAAAGAAGGCAAAGAAGAGAGATTAGGTTTAGCCAGCTGCTTAAAGTGGACTTTGAAACCTGTGTTCTGCCCCATATATCTGATATGAGTCGGGTGCTACTTAAATTGCATGTGGAAGAGATTTTTGTGGTCACTTAAGAGTTAGATGTATCTGAAGAAAAATAATGCATTCTGCATGGTCTACTGGAAAAGAAAATTAAAATGTATGTGTCTGCTCTTATGGAGAGAATTAGGCTGATCAGTCTGATTTGATCTCACATGCTGAGAGACATCAGGCTTCCTGCGCTGCTCATTTCTTCAAGGATAAATGGCATCTAAAATGAAGACTGTGAATAAATGAAACTGTTCTTTTGAGTTTAATTCAAGGTAAAGCAGGTGTCCAACACAGGTATATGCAGTGCCTCCACCTTGCAAATTAATGTCACTGGGTTTTGAAAAGATACAGATATAGTTGTTACCAGTGGTTTTCCTAATAGAAGATACAAACTGTTGCAGCAGACCCCCAAGAGAACTACTAAAACTAGGTTGATCACCCCAAAAGGCTGAAAACTAATTAAAATGCAGAATTCTTTATTGCTAGGCATGGCTTATCATATTAAGAAACTGTTTCATGTGAAACTGGATAAGAATAACAAAAATGGAGACAACAAGCAACAGCAAAAATACAATAATAAGAAATACAGTGTGTTTTCTGATATTATTGCTGACATAAAAGTTATTCATTCTGTATTTTTGTATGTAGAGATGTTATGACAAACATTTTGCAGGGAATGGATGACATTTCTCTAATTTATACTGGGAACTAAGGCAAACCAATCCATCAGCATCAATTAAAATCAATAAGATCTACAGCAATTTTCTGCAATGCAGAGGATACAGGGGCGGGTATTTAAAGACAGCCAGTGATGAAAAAAATTATACACTAATGCCTGAATACAGATTTAAAAAGAAAAAACCCAAACCAAACACAAAACCCATGTGGGCCAAAGCTGTCCTCAGAGAGAACGCATTTTCAATGTGTAGCAGATAGCAGTGACTAAGTGTCATTCCAGGAACAACAGTGACATAAGAATTAGCAGCTGTTAGACAAGCTTTGGACAGTAACAAGTACTTCTACATGAAGTCATCAAGTTATCTTGTTTCTCCTCCAGTTAATGTATTAAGGGGTAATTTAAAATGAAGATCCCACTCTACCAGTCATAATAGAGTTTTATTTTATCTCTTTCACATTCTTGCTAGGGAGAATTAAAAATGAAACACGTACTATACTCTCATTTGTCTCTGGGCCCATCACTGCAGTGAGAAATACCTTCCTCTGTGAACTGAAATCCAAGGATTTAACATCATACATCACGCTGATATAAGGCAGACTCTTTTGCCTAGAGGACACTCTAATGATACACTCTCTGTAGTTAAAGTTGCAAATGACTTCTGTTTGAGCCTGGCTTTTAATCTTGCCATTTAAAATGGCCAAAACGAAATTAATGGTGTTGATATATTTGTTTGTTCTAGAAAATTAAAAGCTTGGTGAGAAGTTGATAAGCAAATTGCATTAGTAAGATATGGCAGCGTTAATAAACTTCCTTCAGTAAACTTCTGACTTTCTTTTTTAATGACTCTTATGTCTCAAAAGCTTCTGGGCTATAGTGGCACCAAACATCGTAATTTTTATTGATCTCAGAATTCAAAGTGAAACCTCTGAGTATTTTAAGATTGTAAAATGGTTACTATTTAAATAATCCCAAACATATTTGGAGAACATAAATGAATTTTCTGACTAATGGAAACTAAGTTTATTTATGACTAATGGAAACTAAGTTTATTTATGGAATCTGCAAATTTTTAGTTTTTTACAATAACATTTTATTCCTGACATGAAAGAAGAGAGGCTGAACTAAGGTAGTTCTCATATAGCACTTATTAATGTTGTTATTAAGTATCCACATCATGTCTAGGAACCCAAAAGTATTAAATTCCCAGGAACATTGTCACTGAGATGAAGTCATGGTCCAAGGAAGGTTCCAGGTAACACTATAGTAAGGAAATCAGATGTAGGCTGCGTTGAGGACGTAGGGTTGCCTGCAGGTGACAGAACTCAGATAAAACAATCTTAATCATCATCATTCAGGTCATTTCACTACTGACAAGTTTGGAAGGAAAGTAAATAAAAATCAGGCCAATACCTTGGACTGATTTATTGGCCAATAACACTGATGACTTAGGAGAACATGTAGATCCTACATCTTCTGAGCAAAGTTATTATATTCTTATTTGTTTTTGGGACTTCTGTTGAGTACTTATGGGCTGGAGAACTCCAGATTAAGCTAGGAACTGCTTAGATTCAGAATGATTCTTTGGATGTCTAACCTTATTTCTAGTATGATTGAGGTATATATCTTTTTTCCATTGCCTCATATTTAGTCAGAAATCTCACTCTTCAGGCCAGGCAAAAAACATCTTCATATCTGTTGAAGCATCTAGCCAACAGATTCCTTGTTACTGTATGCTTTCACTGCACGTTTGCTGGAATCTCTCATACTTATATAGATCATATATGGATTAGTCTGACTTCCTTCTCCTAAACTCTTCTTACAGATTGTGATCACTCCCCAAAATACTAAAATAATAATGTGCAGTAGCAAAACTGGTTAGTGAAGAATGTTTAACTGAATATTTCTAAACTTAAGAGTTAAGATATTTAGATGGAGCTTGATTCCAAATTCAAGTCCAAGTCAAGAACAAATGCAAATACCTTTTTGAAATATGGGACAATTCAGACCTATATGATAGCATCAACAAGTGTACAAAAATCCTTCTGCCCATATATTAATTGAATACTGAAAGTCAAAAAGCAATCTATTCTCATTTTACAAAGTGGTTGTTTCTGCAAATTCAGAGATTCAGTAAGTATACTCTGCAAAAAATCAGATTGATTTTGCAAATAGTATTCAGATTGAGCTGAGCATTTTGGAGCCTTTGGAAGAAAGTGCTACCATGTACCAAAGCAGTGTAGTAATGTGGCAATGCTTAAGATCACAAATTATTTGG